AAACACATCCATAGACAGTTGCTCAAGGCTGAATGTAACAGGGCAAAGTCAATAACTTATTTCACAAATATAAACTAAGTATGCGTCCATGACAACATACTCCTGTAAATCCAATCTTTAAATGAAATCAATCTGCTCTGTAATGTTCACATCCACCTTGAACCCATGCACTTGTACTGGAAGTAATAGAAATCAGGCACATGCAATGAGCCCACACGTGTGTGTGTGTCCTTATATGTCATCATTATTAATTGTATCCTCCCACAGTGCATCAATTATGCATTATGTCCCAGTTTTGAAAGAAATATTTTTAATAACTTTTTATTCTCTTTATTTTTATGTGTTGCTGAGATTGAACCCAGTGCCTCACGTGTATTAGGCAAGCGCTCTACCACTGAGCCACAACCCCAGCCCTTGAAAGAAACATTTTTCAAAATTCTTTTCAAATAAACAGAATAATTTCTTGTTCCCGGACCTCCATTTTGGCCCAAAATGTCTTATTTTCCTTGCTACAACCTCCTCCTGTTTTGTTGGATGCTAGATGGCGCTGTGGGTACGGGGGTCACTGATTTAAAAAACCACAGTAAAGCTTGTACTTCTGAAATAGGAGGCGTTTGGAGCCCAGATGTCTCCTTTCAGGAGAGGATTCTGTGGTCTGACTCAACATCTTTCACATGGAGATTTAAGTAGATCAAAAGAAAGCTTTACCCTGATGACATTAACATTTTTGTGGCCATTTTTCCTGGACTTTAAACCAACTCTTATTTTCTTTGCCCTTACTTTTTTCCTGTATAGTATCTGCACCTAAAAAGCCTGTTTTTTTTCCTTCTTTCTTTCTCAAATTTACAAAACTCACAGATTCTCATTTTATGACTTGACCAATTGTGTTCTTAACTAAGCCAACCTCCTACTAGCTGATTCAGAGAATTGAAAAAGAACTATAAAATCTGAACTCATTGACAGGGAATAAAATTCCTCATACTGTTTTTGTAATGTCTCAAATATTTTGACTTCTCTAATGACCTGGTATTTTTATGTAGGTTAGTTAGCCATGCACAGATGCGTATTAGTTCTGGGAAAGGACAATGAAAGTCAGATATTAGTTCTGTGCACCAAGAAAAATCCAGGAGTCATAAGATTGAAAGAGCAGGAATTCTCATCTAAATGGGCAAGCTTTGGGGAATGAGATCTAGATGGCCCAACATTCCTCAAGCAAATGAATACATGGGATCCTAATTACAATAAGTTATACTCCATGCATATATAATATGTCAAAATACACTCTATTTTCATGTATATCTCAAAAGAATTATATATATATATAATACATATATCTTTAAAATATTTGTTTAAAAATATGTATATATTAAAAAATTATATATTTAAAAAAATCCTTGAAGATATAACTTAAAATCCTTGGACCCCATCAAACAGATAAGCATTAGAGAAGTGGGGTTTGGTCCATCAAGATCTTTCCCCAGCTATAGTTAGTTATAACCCCTCAAGTGGCACTATGGTTTCCAGAAAAATGTCATTATGTCATGTGAACAAGTTATTGGAATCCTCCCTTATTACCAAAACTATGTCACAACTACCCAATAACATTGTTAACCAGAATATTGAAGCCATAACAAAGTTAGTTCACTGAGGGATAGCCAACAAATAATAAACCAATTAAGAAGGAGAGGGAAATTTTGGCAAGAACAAAGGTCTCAATTTCCTTAAAAACTCCAACATTCTGAGCACTATACCATTCTCTCTTTACAGCAGACTGTGCAGTTCCTACACTGTACATTACACTTGCTTCTCACTCTCTCTATTAAACATTTGCTTACTACTCTGTGTTTCACTCAAATTCTTTCCACCAGAGCCACAAGAACTGGCACCCAAGGATTGCAGTGGCTACCTAAGCTTAGCCCAGCAGGCCCCCAGCCCTATAGCAGTATCTATTTGAATAGTAAGTCTTTCTCTAACTCTAGTTTGCATGGTTTTAAGTTACTTATACTATGTGTATTCAATCATAAATTGCTTCCTCCAAGAAACTTTAAATGCAGTCATGCTAGGCAAATGTTCTCCAACTGAGTTACATACCCACTCTTATAATCTGACTTTTATTGCCTATTTGATAGAATTTTTGCTTGAATGATGTCTCAATTAAGGAAGAAATTTATCCTTGCTATTTGTTCATTTGTCTATGACCTACATTTACCAATATGCATCAACATAATTGCCACTTAATATTTTAGGTTGCAAAAATGAATGGCTCAGGATGGAGTTTTGGCTCAGTGGTAGAGTGCTTGCCTGGCATGTGTGAAGCTCTGGATTTGATTCTCAGACCATATATAAATAAATCCATAAAATAAATGTCCATCAAGAACTAAAAAAAAAGAATGTGTCAAATCAAATTGTCTTCCCATGTAGTCACATATTTTACAATAATATAAAAAACATAATATGCTTAGGAACAAATCTGACAAAATATGTGCAAAATTTATACTCTGGAAATTTTTTAAAAAATGATGACAGTAATTAAAGATGATCTAAATAAATGTAGAAATATGCTAATTTCATGGATTGGAAGGCTCAGTATTTCGAGGTCAATTCCTAGAAATTGATTTAAATATTTGCTACAATCCCTAGTCAATGTTCCATTATAAGTTTTTGGAGAAATTGACAAGTGGATACTAAATTTTGCAGTTTACATTAAGAAATTAAGGATTTAGAAAAATGCTTGTATGTATGTATGTGTGTGGTACTGGGGAACCAGCCCAGGGCCTCCTGCTTGTTGAGCAAATGCTCTACTACTGAGCTTTACCAGGAAAGTAAGGACTTAAAATAGCCAAATCAATCCAGAAAAAAAGAGGAACAATGTTGGATGACATATGCAACTTATTTTTTTTTCTTTCTTTCTCTTCTTCTTCTTCTTTTTTTATCTGAGAATTTAATCCAGGGGCACTTTACTAATGAGGTTTTAACCCAGGGATACTTAAAAGGTGAGCTACATCCCAGCCCTTTTTAATTTTCAGTTTGAGACAGGGTCTCTCTAAGTTACTTAGGGCCTCACTAGGCTGGCCTGGAACTTGAAATTCTTCTTCCTCAGGTTCCTGAGTAACTGAGATTAAAGGCAGGCACCAACACATCTGGCTTATACAACTATTTCAAGGGCTAACATACAATAACTTTGATGAAGATAGTGTGGAACTGGCTACACAAAAGGATGAGGTAGGAGGACTGTAAGTTCAAGTAAACCTTGACAACTTAATGAGACCCTGTCTTAAAATAAAAAATAAAAATGACTAGGGATATAGCTAAGTGGTAGAATGCCTCTGGGTTCAATTCACAGTACTAAAAAATAAATACATTAGTGAATAAATAAACAAACTCCCAAACCAAAAAAAAAGTATTATTGGTGTAAGGATAGACATTTAGATAAATGCACAATATAAAAGCAAGAAGTAGACCTACATATATGTGATCAGCATGTTTTTGAGTAATGTACCAAGGAAATTTAATTGACAAAGGATAGCAGTTGCAACAAATGGTGCTAGAATTACTGGGCATCCATATGCTAAAATAACAAAACAAAAATGATAGTGTCTACTATAATTTTGCAATGGGAATTCTCATATTTCACTGTTGGGAATGCAAAATGGCAGAGACTTTGGAGAGTATTTTGGTTGTTTTTTATGAAGTAAACCATATAGTGATTATACTGTCCAAAATTCATTAAAATTTAACATAGACATAAATGGCAAATCTAAACATATGAAATTTCTCAAGAAAACATAGCAGCTTGTTATGGTTTGAATAAGAGTTGTTGACCCCTTCCCTTTTCTCTATCTGATTCTCAGCCTCAATGAAGTGAACAGCGCTCCTCTGCCATGCCCTTCTGCCATGGTGTTCTTGGGCCCAGAGCAATGGAGTTGGTCGTCCAAAAACTAAACCTCTGAAATGATGAGCTAAAATATACATTCCCTTCCCTAAGTTGTTCTCATCTGGTATTTTGATCTCAGCAACAAAAAGATAAGTAACACATAGCTAATCTTTTGAAATTACATTAAGAAATTATTTCATTGATAGGAAATAAGTATTATAAAGTGAAAGAAATGGATAAATTGTACTTAATTAAAATACAGATATTGCCCTTAGCACATGTTATTTTAAATAATAAGAAATGCCACAGGCCCAGAGAAAATGTTTTCAATATATATCTGATAGAGGGCTATATAAAGAACTTACATATTTATGTTAATAATGATGATAACAGAACATCAAACACTATTTTAAAGCAGGAAGAGTGATATTTAACCAAGGAATAGTTATGGGTGGCAAATCAGTCCATTGAAATATAGCCAATATCATTGCTATTAGAAAGATATGTATTAAAATCATAATAAGATGCTACTATATGTCTACTAATATAATTAAAACTAAAAAATATAGAGTTTGGAGTAGAGTTTAATGGTGGAGTGCTCAACTCACATATATGCAATATATACACACATATACACACATACACATATATATGTTTGTATGTGTATATATATATTTGTATATTATTTTACTTACTCTGTACAGTATATTATTTATACAATTATATACTTAAGCACTGCCAGTAAAAAATTCTGCCATGAAGAGCAACAGGGAATCTCATATTTCACTTTTGGGAATGCAAAATGGCAGAGACTTTGGAAAGTATTTTGGTAGTTTGTTATGAAGTAAACCATATAGTGATTATACCGTCCAACATTCTATAGTCTTAGGTATTTCCCAAGAAAAATGAAACTGCTTGCTTGTAGTACAGTATTTACAATAACCTAAATCTTGGGGCTGGGGATGTGGCTCAAGCGGTAATGCGCTCGCCTGGCATGCGTGCGGCCCGGGTTCGATCCTCAGCACCACATACAAACAAAGAGGTTTTGTCTGCCGAAAAAACTAAAAAAAAAAATATATATATATATTAAAATTCTCAAAAAACCCTAAATCTTTAAAGAACACAGGTATTTATGAAGTGGTAAAAAAATGAGAAAATTATTACACATTCATTCTATAGAATACAACTCAACATTACAAAGGAATAAATGACTGATACATGAAACAACATGAATGAATCTCAAAAACATGATTCTGGGAGAGGGAAAAGCAGACCCAAAACATTTCATATAGAATGAGTTCATTTTGACATTCTAGAAAAGTCAGTGCTATTGAGATAGGAGTAATCAGTAACTGCCAAGCTATCTTGATCATATCAGTAACTACCAAGCCTCAGTGTGGGGGAAGAATTACTTCAAAGAAACACCTAGAACTTCTTGGGGAAATGATGCAGGAAAGTTCTATGGGTGGCCTAGAATGACGAACTTCTCCTGTTTTTCACTAGTAGATCTCAAGAATAACTATAGGAACCCAGTACCATGGGGAGAAACTGCCAGGAATAGCCTTGACTTTGTTCCTTTTTCCTTTGGGGCAGTATATTCTTCAAAGCTTCCCAGTGAGTCATGTTATCCCTGAGGTATATAACAAAACATTTGTTGGCTTTTGGGGTCCCTCAGGTTTAGTGAATTGGGGTACCTGCAGTCAATACTCATTTTAGTGTTTTCACTGCTGTGACTAAAGACTTGACAAGAACAATTTCAGAGGAGGAAAAGTTTAGTTTGGGGCTCAAGGTTTCAGAATTCTCATTCCATAGAAGGCTGCCTCCATTACTCAGGACTTGAGATGCTGCAGAACATTATGTATAAAGAGTGTGGCAGAGGGAAGCTGTTCACATGATGATCAGGAATGTTACAGAATCTCTACTCACCAGATACAAAATTTTTGCCACAATGACCCCCTCCTCCAGGCATACTCTACCTGCCTTTGGTTACCACTTAGTTAATTCCATTGATACACTGACTGGTTGATACACTGATTGGGTTACAGTTCTCATAACCCAGTCATTTCTACTTGGAACTTTCTTATATTGACTCACACATGAGCTCTTAGAGGACACCTTACATCTCATAACGATACTCCATCTACTCTGTGCAATGTTTGGATGGATGGAGATTTCAAGAACTATCTCATGATGGAACCCAGGCTTTTAAAACATTTTTTCCATATTTTATTGTTGCATATATTTGTACATAATAATTAGATTTGTTGTTACTTATTCATACATGAACACAAAATAACAATATAATTTGACCAATATCATTACCCAGTATTTCCCCAGCTTTCTTTATCTTTTTTTATCTTTATCTTATTTTTCTCTCTTGTCGCCTATCTTTAAGTATTACATCTGCTTCACTTAAATCATTATGTACTAGTGTTTTCTGTCTCACTAGACTCAGGTAATTAGTAAAACTGCAACCGAGGATGCAGTGGGCAAAATTATTTGGACTCCTGTTCCTACTGGTTGGCACAGTGATGAGCTCTGCTGTCTTCCATAGGTTCAAAGTCATTTATTGAGACTGGTTATTAGTGAACCTGATTCACAATATTGGTGCTGTGAGAAGGGTTTGGTATGACAGAACAATGGCTTTCGTTAATGTGGGAAGGAAACTCCAATCCCCAGCCTTAGGTGGAGACCCTATAGGAACATAGGATATGAACATCCAACTATCTGAGTTATAAGGCTGGATGGCTGGACAAGAAGGATGTGTTACCTTGCCCCCTAATGATGTAAATGAGCTGGATCCATGGACCAAGGCAGAAAGAAAGAAATGTGGAAATAAGGTACCATTATCTGGTTGTTGAGCACTTATGTGATCATTCATTAATAGATCCTGAAAGCTTGCTAAGTGGGTATTCCTGAGGCATGAGAAGGAATGAACATGTGCCCTGTTGACCATCACAGATGGGGAAACTCACTATGAAAAGTACAGATTTGGAAGAAGGCCTGACTGCTATGTCTGTCTGACAAAGGGACGCTGGAGAACTATGAGTCTATGGATAAATGGTACAGGTAAGAATGAAGCCAAGGTCTTTATTTCCCACTGGAGGCCAATGACCTTGTATTCCTGTCAAGATAAGAGAGGAACCAGGCAGGGTACCTTCTGCCTGCAGTTCTATTTTCTCAGGAGACTGAGACAGGAGGATAGATTGATTTGAGGAGTTTGGGGCAAGACTGAGCAACATAACAAGACCCTGTATCTTACAAAAATGAGGCCAGTATAGACTTGGGTTAGGTTCCTGAATTCTAGATTTACATGACCATGTTTTGTGGTTCCCTTAGATAAAAAATTAAACTAATGAGATCAAAAGGTTTTGGGACAAACCTGGTAAATCCTGAGATTTACCTGCAAATAGTGCTTATCTGCTTGTAGATGGGCCCCTTTGACCACTTCAGGTGCTGGTGAGTAGGGTTCTAACCGTGAAGTGCAATATAGGCATTGGTATTTTGGCTATTGTTTTGTATACAGAACATTGCCACTAAGGGTATACACCCTGATAGCTAGGTATTAAGCTATAACAGAGGAGCATTTTCATTCCTGCTGGCCACCTAAACTATTCAACTCCTTCCCAATTATACCAAAAAGAGAGGTATATTGCATACTAAATGGAAATAAAGACATTACATTCATTACTTGGTTCCAGGATACTCTATGGATATAAAATTCTGAAGATTCTGAAGCCTAATATAGAGGATATAGTATTTGCATGTAACAGACTGTTATGGTTTGGATATGGAATGTCCCCACAAAGCTTGGCTCCCAATGCAGAAATGTCCAGAGGTGGGGCTTTTAGGAAATAATGTGATCATGAGAGCTCTAACCTCATCAGTGGATTAGCCCATTTGGTGGATCAATAATCTAAATGGATTTATTGGAAACTTTAAGCAGGTGAAGTGTCATGGTTAGAAGAAGTAGGTCACTGAGGTCTTGCCCTTGAAGACTATATATATCTTATCCTTGCCCCCCTCATCTCTTTCTCTACTTCCTGGCTGCCACAAGTTAAAGAGATTTCCTCTGCCATATCTTTCCACCAAAATGTGTTGCCTTGCTGTAGGATCAAAGCAATGGACCTGGCCAACCATGAACTGAAATTTCTTCAACTATGATCCTAAATAAATCTTTCCTCTTTTAAGTTATTTATGTCTGTTATTTTGGTCACAATGATGAAAATCTGACCAACATACATACACAAAACATACATGCACATAATTATTTATAATTCCTAATACAATATAAATGTTATGTATTATTTAGGGAATAGTGCCAAAAATGTGTTCACATGTGCAATACAGATACAATATTTTTTTTCAAATATTTTTGACCTATGATTCATTGAATCCACCAACACAGAATCTGTGGATACAGAGGGCTGGCGATATTTTGTTATTCAAGTCTACTTTGGTACAGATAAAAATGTTACTACACACCATGTTGTTATGTAACTGTCCAGCTTAGCTGGTCAAAGAGGCCTCTAGTGCTTGGAAGTCATGAGTGCCAAAGCTATTGGACAAGAAGCCAAATATATCCTAAGCTACAACAAACAAACAAACAAACAAAACTGAGACAGGGTCTCACTATATTTATATTGACCAGGCTGTCCTTGAGCTCCTGGGCTCAAGTGATTCTTCCGCCTCAACTCCCAAGTAGCTGGAACCATAGGCAGGTATCACTACAACTAACTTAAAAAAGCCCTTTTGGCACTCACTAATAAAAAGGAGGCCAGATGGATGGTAACACTCTTTGGGTCCTGAAGATAGTATATACCCCACTTGGGGTTCCTTTGTTCCCTATTGCCAAGATAATCAAGAAAGCCACTGACAATGAATGAATCCCTTACAGCACTAAAATTTGGAAGCTGTTCAACAAGTAGTGACTTAGACACTGACTTTAAAATCTTTGAAGCATGATAGCCTGATGAAATTTCAGCTGTTTACAACCTCCATGCATTCTGATTGAAGGCTATGGTGATGAAAACTGACACCAGGTACACCAGTGTCTCAGATCTTGGACATCTAAATTGCCTAAGGCAGCTTCCAGATATATTTCTTTTGAATAGCAATTCTTTGCTTGCTCTTAGGAACTGAAGAGGACTGAATTTCTCATGGATAGAACACCTCATGCAACTCTGCAACCTCAAATGCTCATTCTCACATGTGTATTCACAAATCCCATCAATAAATCTGGACAACTTCAACAGAGTTCACTGGAAATGGTATATTCAACATTGGGTCCTGCTAGAACCTCAAGGGACTGGTAGACTCCATTAACAAACAGGTATCCTCCCAGAAGAGATTTAAAGAAGCTTTGATTCCTCATGTGAATACCTAGAGCCCAGAACTGAGTCATATCTAGATAGTATGGAATGGTTTACTGACAGCTCTAGGAAACAACTGAATAGAGACTGCAACTACCATCCAGCCAGAAGGTACCCATCTTTTGACTGAGATATTTTGCTCATACAGGTCACACTCTTTGAAACCACTGTTCATGAGAACTTTTGCTAATGGCCAAGCCACCTTTTCAGGAAAATGGCTACAAAGTGAATGAACTATTAAAGTTTCCTATTATGAGAACAAGGAGACTATGTCAATAGCTTTGCTGTCTGGAAGAGACAAATAATAAATATGTCACTCATGTGGATGCTGAGACCACTGTAGGTGCCTTAGAAAGGAATTTATGTCAGAGTTTTGGATATCCCATGGGACTTCAATTCTGGCCAAGCAGCTTCCTGTACTACCTAAACCACATGACAATGGGAACTCACACATGGATCATGATGAACTGCACATGTACTCTGTGTTTTGCAGTCCAATGGAATAGTTGAACAAAGGGATAGATGATTCACAAAATAATCACATATGAAGACAGCTTGTAAGTAACGTGGCATTCTCAACCTGGCAATATGGATATTAAATTCTTCATTTTCAATGCAAGGGAAACATGGCATTTCTGTGCATGTTGGTAATCACCGACCTTGGTGGAGATGGAGACAGACCAGTGAGTTGCTTGATCACACTGCACCTGTGAACACCAATTTCATTGTTCCCAACAACTCATTTTCCTTTAGAATTAGTATTCTGGGAGGTAGTTTTGCAATTAAACCCACCACAGAACCATTGAAAGGTTACCCTTACTCTAACTTAGATATATTTATTTAGGGCTCTATCCATCTTCCGTGGAGGAGAGGACCGGGAGTGACTAGGTCTCTGTAGTGGTTCCCGGGGCTCCCATCTTTCTAGCTGAGTTTCTGATGTTATCAGGAAAGTCAGGTTCACACAGGTCATTACCTTTGTTTCTGGACTGTTTAAAAATTGGTTAAGCAACAAGCACTATGATACCAGCAAATGCGGTAGTTTCAGGACAAAGATAGACTGACTGGGCTATACCCAACCTAATCACTATACTATAGATAGGGATTATTTGAGATCCTGAGAGGAGTGGGGGTGGGGAAGGCACTAAACTGTCAATCTGTTTTTTATAGGAGCATGGCACCAGAGAGTCTGGAAGCATAAAGTCTTTTTAAAAAGGCATCCCCAAGCTTTGGGCAATGAAAGAAACCTGGTGCATAACAATATGCACTTGCTGAAACTTACTGAATTACCTACTGAAAAATAATGAATTTTCCTTTAATAAAATAAACTTAAAAACTAAAGAGTTTTTAGTATTAATCTCCTTATAGTCTTTTTATTACCCTAGGAGCTTCCCAAATATGAAAAATATGATTAGTCCCTGCCCACAGATTTTTTTCAATTTACTCCTCCTATAAAAACATAAAAGGGCAAGAGTCCTGGCTACAGGTTCAGACTTATCTTTTGCCCCAGCTCCCACTCACGGTTATATGAACTGATCATTATTCCTGCCTTATTACCTTTAGACATCATTACTTCTTGGGTAGTGCTTCTCTTCTTTCTGTAGTCTTGATGCTGATGGGATACAAGAAACATTACTCTAAAATGTGGGATCTTGGCACACTTGGTATTTTATTATACTAATTTTTATTTTGTAGTTCTAGGGATTTAATCCATAGTCTCAAACATGCTAGGCAAACTCCCTACCACTGAACTACATCCCCAGCCCACACTCAGTAATTTGAATCAAATATAAGAGAGGAAAACCACAGAAGCAAGAAGATTTCTCTGACCTTTTCCTGACCCTCATTTCCTGAAGAACCTCACAGAGGAAGAAAAACAAAGAGGAAGTTTAGATATACAAATAGATAGCAGAGAGATATACACAGAGAGAGAAAAAAAACATATGAGTACATAGTTCAAGATGGCCATTTGCAAGTCAGAACTCAAACATACCAGCACTTTAATCTTAGATTTCCATCCTCTAGAATAGGAGAAAATAAACTTTTGTTGTTTAAGCTTCCCAGTCTGTGGTGCTTTGTTATGGCAGGTTTAAGAAACCGATACAATGCTATAATAATTAACTCAGCCATCATCTTTTAGAAAATGATCCCCTGACTACTCAGTTTGTTTCTATATACTTTTACTCTGAGTAATAAAATACCCTGGACTTAGAGTTTGCTTCTCTCTTGTTCATTAAAAATTTTAGTGACATTTCTTGCAAGTGATTTTTCTCCCATTTAATAGTATTCATTCAAAAAGAGCCAATAACTAGCAAATGAAAGGGAAAGAGGCAAGCATTTATTATATGGGTGACCTAATCCATTTTCTGTTTATATAATGAAATACATGAAGCTGTGTACTTCTTAAATAATACTCACAATATCGGTGGCTGAAAACTCAAGATCAGGTAGCCCCATCTGTTCTTCCTCTGGTGAGGATTTCAGGGTGGTGACATCACAATGGTGGAAGTTCATGTGATAGGACTGGTAAAAATATTCAGGCGTTAGGTTTCCTCTTTTGAAACAACTTTTTGTCTTGGAAACTAACTAGAGTCTTGGAAGAATTACATTAACATCTTCTGAGGGAATGTCCTCAGTGACATAATTACTTTTCACTAACTTCCACCTCTTTAAGGTCACTCCAACTCTCAAATATTGCCATATAGGGGTTAAAACTTCCAGGATGTGAAACTTTTTTGGACCTGGGACTGAACCTAGGGGTGCTTAACCACTAAATCACATTCCCAGCCCTTTTCTAAATATATTCATATTTTTTAATATATACATATATATTTATATATGTTTACACATATACATATATGTATACATATATATTTTGAAACATAGTCTCACTGAGTTGCTTAGGGCCTTGCTAAGTTGCTGAGGCTGGCTTTGAACTCATGATCCTCCTGGCTCAGCTTTCTGAACTGTTGGAATCACAGGAGTGTGCCACTGTGCCCAGCTCAGCATATGAAACTTTCAACACATTCAACACAATTTGTTGAAAAAATTACCTTTTCTAAATTCAATGGCTTGGGCCCTCTTACATTACATTTGACTACATATGATCTGAATAAATATTTATGAAAAAATATAAAAATGGCTACCAAGTTATAAAAAAATGATCAGCATTATTAATCATCATGGGACTGAGAATCACAACTACAATGAGCTATCTTCTAAAACCAGTTACAATGGCTATTATAGAAAATAAATGGAGGGCTGGGGTTGTGGCTCCGTGGTAGAGCACTTGCCTGCACATGTGAGGCCCTGGGTTCAATCCTCAGTACCACATAAGAATAAATAAGTAAAATAAAGGTATTGTGTCCAACTACAACTAAAAAAAATAAATATTTTTTTTAAAAAGAAAATAAATGCAGAGAAAGGAGAACTTTATACACTGGGAGACATTACAAGTTAGTATACACATTATGGAGGATGAACAGATTAAAAATGTTTTATATATACAAATTTTACTATTTTATTTCATATATAACCAGTGTTGGGATATATGTATCTATATTGGGATATATGCATGTGTATGTATCTCAATATATTATTAAGCCATAAAAAGGATGAAATCCTCTAATTTGTGGTAACATGGATAAAACTGAGGGACATTGTATTTAAGTGAAATAAGCCAAGTGCTGCAAATAACTTGTTCCCTTTTGTATGTGGAAATTAAAAAGTTGATTTTGGGGAGGTAAAGAGAAGAATAGTGGTCATAGAGGTTAAGAAGGATGGAGGAAGAAGTAGATAGAGGCTGAATAATAGGTATCAAAATGCAGTAACATAGGAGTTTTGATGTTCTACGGCACAGTTAAGTAACTATAACTCACAAAAAAGTATTCCTTTTAATAAAGTGCTAGAAGAGAGGATTTTGAGGATCTCAGCACAAATAAATGTTAACTGATTTAGAAAATGTATTATATACACATATGGACTTATCATACTGTACCTTTGTTGGTGTGAACACCGCTCAGTGCCTAAGAAAGCTTTTTGATCTGGGCAGTGAGATAAGGAAAACATTAAAGAACAGGATAATGAAGGAAATGGAGAGGGGAAACTGGTCACTTCCTTTGTCTTCAATCTTTAGGTGAAGATCAAAGCAGAGTGACCTTAGTTGAAGAGTAAAAGAATGTATTCATAAAATATCTTAAGAAATCCATCTGTGCAGTGGGCAGGTAAAACCTATGCTAAGTATTTCCCCTGCTTGTAGGAATAGAGCAACAGTCTGTTGTATCCTTGTATGCCAACAATGATGAGTAATAAAATTTTCAAACCTTCTCTGCTGAGTTCCCCAAGTTCTTCCTTTGGGATCAGTAAAAACTTTATACTTAAAGCATCTGTAGCCCTGGGGTTGAACAACTCCTTAAATATATACTGTTATTGTATGTCGGCAAAGTACTTCTTGACAAACAATAATAAATTGTGGTTTGCAATTGAAACATAACTGTTTATCCTACACTTTCTCTGGAAAACATGCAAACTTACACTTTTGCATTTGCATACATTTATGGTTATTTATAACATTGTTTACAGAAATGGGAAATAAAAGTTAAAGTGCTTCCTGCAGACAAAAATATATAAAATTATTATTTTTTGCAGTTCTAAAGATAGAATCCAGAGCCTGATACATGTTAGGCAAATACTCTACACTGAGCTACATCTCTAGCCCTTAGTATTTAATTCTTGAACATCATATTTTAGGGAAGGCAAGATAGAAGGAGCCAATTTCTCTATAGAAATTCTTGCTTTATTTGGCACAGTATATAAATATTCTTTCACTATAACTAGATTGCATTCATGCATGTCTTGCTCTTGGATTTCTTTTTAAAATGTCTTTTTTTTTTCTCCAAAGAATCAACGAATAAAGCAAACTCTGAGGCCATATTTTATTAGGCATCAAGCTGCTTACTTTATTGTGGAAGTAAATAACAACCAAAAGCCTCAGAAAAAAAAGGTTCTGTTGTTGTTGTTGTTGTTTGTCTTGTATCCTCATCAGGAAATTAATACAAATTATCTGCCTAGATTTACAACTGTGACATTGTGGTTAGAATGTAAATCAGTGGAAGAGAACTTGCCTAGCCTGTGTGAGGCCCTGGGCTTGATCCTCAGTTCTACAAAGAAAAATATTGTGACACTGAATTGAATAAGAATACAATACAGTTCCTTGTCCACTTATTCATTGGGTTTTCTTGTATGTGTTATGTTTTTTAAGTTCTTTATATATCCTGGAAATTAATGCTCTGAGATGCAGGTGGCAAAGATTTTTTGCCCATTCTGTAGGCTCTCTCTTCATGATATTGTTTCATTTTCCATGAAGAAGATTTTTAGTTTAATGCCATCCATTTATTGATTATTGATTTTACTTGTTAACTTTAGGAGTCTTGTTAAGGAAGTCAGTTCATGAGCCAATATGTTGGAATGTACAAGTAACAATAAATGTTGGTAAGGATGTGGGGGAAAAGGTATACTCATACATTACTGTGGGGACTGAAAATTGGTGCATCCATTCTGGAAAGCAGTATGGAGATTCCTCAGAAAACTTGAAATGGAATCACCATTTGACCCAGTTATCCCACTCCTCAGTATATATCCAAAGGATTTTAAATCAGCATACTACAGTGATGCTGCCACATCAATGTTTATAGCAGCTCAATTCACAACAGCTAAGGAATGGAATCACCATTGATGCCTTTTAAAAGATTAATGGATAAAGAAAATATAATATATTATAATATTATATATATGTATATATATATATATGTATATATATGTATATATATATAATATGTATAATGGAGCTTTACTCAGCCATAAAAAAGAATGACTTTATGACATTTGCTTGCAAATGGATGGAACTTGAAACTTTCATGCTAAGTGAAATAAGACAGTACCCAAAGGCCAAAGGTTGAATGCTTTCTCTGATAAGTGGAAGTTAACCAAAATAAGGGTGGGGTGAGGGGAAGAATAGAAGTCCAGTAGATCAGACAATGGGGACTGTAGAGAAGGAAGAGGGAGTAATATGAAAGACAGTGGAATGAATCTGACATATGTTTCCCACATACATATATAAGAACATCACAGTGAATCCTACCATCATGACATCCACAAAAATGGGATCCTAGTTAGAATAAGATATATTCTTTGCTTGTATAATTACATAAAAATGGATTCTAATGTCATACATAACTACAATAAATATAAAAAATATACTGCTGAAAAAAATATACTTGACAAAACATTATCTGGTAACTGGGTATTTAAAAAAATAAGAATTCAACTGAGGGCTGGGATTGTGGCTCAGAGGTAGAGCGCTCACCTAGGATATGTGAAGCCCTGGGTTCAATCCTCAGCACCACATAAAAAAATTCAATAAAGATATGTGTCCACCTATTAGTAAAAAAAAAAATATTAAAAAAAGAATTCATCTGAATGGCATTCCTTTTCTATAACTATGAAAAGAACTATCTGTTGATTGCAATGGAGGTGAAGGTTTTGAAAAGTTCCAGGCAGTTGAGATTAAGGAGTTTAACTTATGCTTTATGTAAATCATTGATCATGTGAAAAAATAGTAAGTACAAACAATTTTCAAAGGATTGGGTCTATCAGATTTTCAAAAATATGTGAAAAATCTGTAAACAACTACAGGTTAAGGGGATTGGGATATAACTCAGTTGGTAGAGTGTTTGTGTCACATGCACAAGGCTCCGGGTTCAGTCACCACACACACACACACACATACACACACACACACACACACTCACACACATACACACACACACACAAAATACAAGTTAAGAATCACTATTCTCTTTATATGTATGACTTTATGATATACTGAAAAATATGGAAATTGTTTGAGTGTGTATGTGAGGGTTTATTTCTAAATGTCTATACAATTATATTGGTCAAGTTTCCTGACTTTATTGAAACCACATTGTTTTGTTTACTATAGTTTTTTTTTTTTTTTTTTGCGAGGGGAGACAGGGGGAGGGCAGGTGTTCCAGGAATTGAACTCAAGGGTACTTGACCACTGAGCAACATCTCCAGCCTTATTTTGTATATTTATTTAGAGACCAGGTCTCACTGAGTTGCTTAGCACCTAGCTTTTGCTGAGGCTGGCTTTGAACTTGCAATCCTCCTGCCTCAGCCTCCCAAACCACTGGGATAGCAGGCATGTGCCACCACACTCAGCTGCTTACCATAATTTTGTAATAGGTTTTGAAATCAGGATGTATGAAACACATATTTGTTTTTTCTTTTTTCAAGACTGTTTTGGCTTATACACTTATACCATATAAAATTCAGGATCCTCCAGACATGTTATCTCATGCTTGTAATCCCAGGGACTTCAAAGACTGAGGCAGGAGGATCACAAGTTCAAAGCCAGCTTCAACAATTTAGCAAGACCCTAAGCAACTTAGTGAGACTCTGTCTCAAAATACAATATAAAAAGGGCTAGGAATGTGGCTCATTGGTTAAGCTCCCCTGGCTTTAATCCTTAGTACCAAAAAATTAAAATAAAAATAAAATTCAGGATTAATATTGTTTTGATATTGCCAAATATTTTCTCTTTGATCAAACTGTAGGTGGGTTCTCTGAGCTCTCTTCAAGGCTAGGTTTTAAATTTGGATTATAAAAATGACAGACTCAACAGAAGTTATTTTATCCACTCTCCTCCTTCCACATTAAAATACTCAATAAACAGTAACACAGTATCTAATAGCTGAGGGCACAACCCTAGATGACTGAAGGACTCCAAAAGAGTGTATTACAGCTGACACCTAACTATAGCAGCTCCTCAACAGTTCCTTACCTCATTTATAAAGAAAGGGTTTACAAGAGTTTAAAATCCTTTTTTGTCTCTTTGAGATGCATTTTTTTCAAGAATATCTTTCTCAAGGCCTGGAAAGAAACTGTTTTGAAAGGCAATGTTCAAAGAGAAGCAACTCTGTCCTCTAGTCTTATTGGGAAGATAGAGTACTTTCTTCAATAACTGTTGGACAGAAGACCGCCTAATCATGTAAATTGGCCAGACTTTTGTGATTTCTCACTTTCCTGGCTTTACTAGTAAAACCTTGTTCCCCCTCCCCTCCACCTCTTTCGTTAACCTCTCTTTAAAATGCCCTTTCACCTCTGTGCAGATCAAAGTTGAGTTCAGCACACTTTAGACCCTCCTTTCTATTGCAATACACATTACTAATTAAAATGTTTTACCACTTAGCTAGTATGTCTGGCTTTTTAAAAAATTATATTTGACAATTCCATTGTCTTGTATGACCTTGTTTGGGGGTTGGGGAAGAACACTTGAATTTCATATTATACTTTAAATTCTTGGTATCTCAGGGGTTGGGGATATAGCTCAGTGGTAGAGTACTTGCCTCCCATGCTTGTGGTCCTGGGTTCTATGCTCAGCAATGAAAAAAAAAAAGATTTTGGTAAACAACATATAGTAGGATAGTAGTTTCTTTGATGTTGGGGGTTGCTACTTGGTATTATCGACCACAATTTGAGGCCATATTCTATATAAAAGTAAATCTGACTGTCAAGCCATGAGGGGTGTCTGTTTCTGAGATATTAAGGCATTTGTTTCAATGTGGTGTTGGAAGAATGTACTGCTGAAGGAAAGCAGAGTGGAATGAGGAGCCTTAAAGTAAGGGAACCAGAGTTATCATTAAAATGACAGATTCCTTGCTAAGTGAATAATGTTTGAAGAATATGGCTTTAAGGAGCTGTTTCCTATTTCTGCTGTTCTCTGTGTGGCTTTGGGGGTCAATTTCTTAACCTCATTCTGCCTCTAATTTCTGATCTGTAATACAGCCGAGTCCTGATGTGATATTTTGAGGTGTAGCAGTGATAATCCATGTGAATATTAACTCTATAGTTAATATATGCTGGTATGTACATTGTCAAGAAAGTATGTGAATGCTGTCAAAGAATGCTATCCCTCCAGGGCTGCTGTGTGGAAATTGAGTCTTAGTATAGGTTTTGTCTTCTGGAAAGAAATCCATGAACCACCTTTTTTTTTGGAAGTGACTTCTTTACACATGAAGTCACAAACCAAAATCCTGAGGCCTATCTGACCAAGTGACTCTTCAAATTCTTTTCTTGACTACTTTTCTTGATTCTATCATCCAGAATCAAGTGGTGCTTAACGAAGTTGAAGACAGGTAAAGAAGGTACAGAGTTTGTTCTGTGTGGCATTATCTATCTGCTCTGCTGCTCACCAACTTCAGAACAAGTCCTCCTCAGAAAATAATGATACAAAGAATTATTGAGAATGAGTATATACTATTGTTATTAATGTATTTACATCCCACATACCTGTTAGATTTTCATGGAACATATAATAAAATCAGGTATGTATTTTTTTGTCAAGCTGGGGATTGAACCCAGGACCTTCTATGAGAGATGTATGCACTCTACTACTGAAATACATCCTGAAATTAATGTAATCATATATTTAATAACTGACTAGTAGTGATATATCTAATAAGTAGTAGAACCATGAAAACCACACCATTGAGTCTTCATGTTTCTGTTATCAGTTTCTTATTACTGACCATGTTTTGGGTTCACATAATCCTGGAAAGACTATTTGAGATTTCACGTTGCCTTCCTTGTATAGGAGCCCCCAAATCCCCAGAAACAGAAGAGAAAAGTATTATAGGCATTGCATATTGGTTAACTCAATATTTACATCAGCACATCAGAAAGAGAAAGAGAGGGGTCTGGAGAGAGAGAAGATGACACACAAGAGAGAGAGATCAATCAATTCAGTTTCCACGAAGACAGAGTTGTTATATGCTATATTTAATGAGACACAGAGCACAGAAGTACAGGGGCAGTCCAGAAGAAAAAGGCAAAAACATAGGGGAGGTAATTTGAATGAACTTGCCCTTCAACCCTTTGATCTTGTTTCTGATTGCAAAAAGATAGAGTTATATGCGTGACACAGCTATTTTTCAATAAGCCAAAGGATGAAAACATACTCTTTACAGATAATACAAATAATATCAGTCAGTTGAATCTCTCCCTGTGAACTTTAACCTGCCTTTCTTATGATTTTTTTGTTATGATCAACTTACTATATTATGAAATAATTTGAGTATAGCTTTCTATGTGAAAAAAGAGAACACAATTATAATTATAAGTAAAAGAAACCAGTAAGTTTTATATCCTGTATTTGTTTTCTTGGAAATCTCTAGTATCCTTTATATTTGGAAATCAATTTGCCTCTGTCCTTTATTTTTATTTATTTTATTTTTAAATATTTATTTTTTTAGGTGTAGATGGACACAACACAATGCCTTTATTTTTATGGGGTGCTGAGGATCAAACCTGGGAACCGCCTGTGCTAGGCGAGAGCTCTACCGCTGAGCCACAATCCCAGCCCTGTCATTTATTACATAAATTCTACAACTAGGTAGTTTGCATAGCTTGTAGCATTGCTCTTTATATGAAGTGAAATTAAATTAAATAAAGATTATAGGCTCATTTTTATCAAGAAAATTTTTTAATCTTGAAATTATCAAATATAGTATTGATGCCCAGAGTAGATGACTACAGCATTACTTGACAAAACAAAAACCCATCTGTTGAATTATATTAATATTGCCTGTAAAATGTAAGTTGTGTTGGTGTATTTGTTGCCAATATCTCATAAATCTTGAGCATTTATTTATCATAGATCTTCTCATAAATCTTAAACAAATGCCCCCTCACTAGAATATTTTGTAGATCATTAGATTGAGGATTGTATTACTCGAACGACAGATGGATGCTCTTGAGTCTCAGACACACACTGTGGAATCTTCCTTCACCAGAGAATGTTTCTTTTAACAAAGTCATACTAGCATTAGTGCACTCAGCATTGAAGGCCCTACTAGAATCTTAGTGTGCAAGTTCAAATCCTGAATATTTTTCCTCACTTCTTCTTAGTTGTTTTTTTTTTTTTTTGTCTTGGTGGTTTCAATTGAGATAATTCCTATTCAACCCAGATTGATGAATACCATCTGCACTAGTCAAGACAATTAGTGTCTATTCACACATAAACTATCAGAAGAGTGTCAAAGATTCCCCCTGAAATAATGGATGAAACAGATAAGATAAATTTTCCCAAATTACTCAAAGTAAATTAAAATTGGAAAAAATCACAACATGAACAGTTAAAAAAATATTTCCTTAGATGATAAAATAAAGACTGCAATTTCATTTTTTAAAAGCCAGTAATACAAAAATACGAGCTTCCTCTAGCACATATATGCACACATTTTGTGACTGGCATTTTTTATTTCATTGAAAAATGAAAATAACTCAATACTCATTCACCAAACAATAGGAAAATAATACACCTGTATTAGGATTTATCATTAAAAGGCAATATCACACAGATATTTAGAAAAACAAGATAGAAGAAATAAAACTCTCTAGCTTTTTGATAAGGAGGAAATAAAAAATATGAAATTAGCACTTACATGATAACAAAGTAGCTGATCTCTGCATTCAGAATAGGAAGCTGAGTATTCCACCCACAAAAATTTGTCTTTGTGCACCTTTCTCAATAAGAACAAACTCAGTGATACAATGGCAATTTTCACAGTCTTCCTAACCATGAATCTGAGAAGATTCTGCCTTAGGCTCCCAGAGAGTCTCTACTCCTCTCCTTTTCAATAGAGGAAATTCAGAGGTAGTTTCCAGAAAACACCTGCTTTCCCTAAAATATGTGAGACCCCCATCCCAACATTAAAGAGTAAAGTTAGAAAAGATGAAGATGATTGGAAAGAGATTTTTGAAAAATGATTATAAATTCACAAAAATTTAAAAGACAAATGAAAGATATTAATACATAATACTAAAAATGAATAGGGTTGTAGATAATATCTGTGTGATCAAAAATACAAAAAAGAAAAGGATGAAGAAAAAAAGAGAAGAAAGGAGGAAAAAGGGAAGGGAGGAAGGAAGGAAATTACATAAAAGTGTTAGAGACATTTGCAAGCCAAAAATTTTTTAAAAGCAAGAACAAATATTACCAGGCCTGCCAGCAGCGGTAACAAGTTGTTGGTCAGCAAGCAGAATGACTGGAGAAAATGCGTTCTCATACAAAAGAACTGCATTCCGCAACCAACCACTAAGGGAGGGCAGGGAGCAGCTGTCCTTGCCCCTGCAGACCCCACAGTGAGGCTCTGAGCTCAGCTGCATTGGCTGTGGCACCGCCCTGGGTGGGCGTGGTGTGGAGGAGGAGGGAGGAGGACTTCTTCCACTGGGGCATCTGCACTTGCGCAGGAGGCACCCAGGGATGAGTCTCCAGATTCCTGCCACCTCTGGCTGTTGGTGGGGAAGGAGCTAGAAAGAAGGAAAGTAAAAGAAGCCATGTCATCTGTTAAAATTCACTGGAATTTTGAGGCTGGAGCAGTGCTGGGTACATTGCCTGATTCACGAGGACATTAGAGACATAAGCATTAATGTCAAAGTTCTGAAATGAGAAACCCTGTTTATGAAAGGTACATATGAAAATGAAATCTATGAAAGGCAAATTTAGTGTTAGTAAGGCATTCAGTTTCATTCTTCTGTTTTTTCATTATAAAAATGTACAATGGATAAGAGGGTTATGTAGGGAAAGCTCTACATTAATTGAAGTCTCTAACATAATGTATTTGTACAGATAGAGAAATTAATATGTAAAATGAGAAAAGAACCTAAAGTCAGACACATGCTGCAAGAGAGGATTTAAGGTTTTTTTTTTTCCAACAAAGATATGATAATGTTTAAGGTAGATGGAATGCTAATTATCCTCATTTGATCATTACATAATGTATACATGTGTGGAAACATGACATTATATTATATAAGTATATATAATTATAATGTCACCTAAAAAGAAATAGGCACATGTGTATATAATAAAATAATTTATAAGAAAGATTAGTGGGGAGTCAGGCATGATGGTGCACTTGTGGAATCCCAGCTACTCTGTACCTTGAAGCAGGATGATTTCTAATTCAAGACTGGTTTTGGCATCTTTATAAGAACCTGTTTGAAACTAAACCCAGCAAGTATTTGTAATGAGTATATGGTGCATTGTGTGTGTGTGTGTGTGTGTGTGTTTTGATGGAAATGCATTATTTACGAACCTATGGGAATGTGAGTTTCCTGGATGGGACCCCATCCTCTCAACTTGGTTCTGGGATGGACAGGGATTTCTTCCTCTAAAAAGTGGGTTCTCCATCATCCCCAAGGCTGGGAGGCCCTGTTCATCCACCAAGGGGAGGTTGCAAGTTGAATTGGTGCCTGTGCCTCCATAGCCTCTATTCTACCTCATGGCCTGCCTTATGATTGATAACCATATCCTCAAACTTCCAGCACAACATGGGTCCCACAGATACTGAGTGGAGGTGCCACTTTTCAGGGACCCACACACTCTGAGAACAAAATGGTTGACCTGGAATGGAGCATGCCCCAAACTGGTCTCATAGGCAACTTGTGTACAGAATGTGGGAGGAGACTCTTCCTAAGAAGAACCAACAAATCTGTACAGAACTTGAAGGGCTTTGCTGAGCTTCCCTGATAATTTTCTGGAGGAGCTGGACATTCAGAGGCCTTATACCTTCTTCTCTTATAATACCTTCAGGTGGTAGATCACCACAATCTGAAAAAAAGTCAATGTAGTCCTCAAAATGTCATCATCTGCTGGTTCACCTCAGCATCTTGCATGGGAAATGTTGGAAGTCATTTGAAGTCCTCAAGATTTGTTGAACACCTTACTCACTTGTGAATCTTCTATGTGGCACCTGTGACTGGAGAAGAACCTTGAGAGTCCTAGATATGCAGCTGGGAGTCCTAGATATGCTGGGGAAATCTTAGAATCACCCAGTGGGAATGGCCTGGTTCTGAGTTCCAGCATACTTCCTCATCCTGCTTAAATAGTTCTTCATTCCAAATTGTAGAATTCTGCCTTTCAGCACTAAATTCACCCTGCTCACTGTCTCTGGATAAACCAAAAGTGGGTCATCTTGGTTTCCTAAGTTGAGCTCAATCAGATCAGTCATAGGCAGCACCATCTTGCCCATGCTATTGGCCTGCATGTTGTCATGTGTAACCAGGGATGAGAACTGTAACTCCATAACCTGACACAGTCCTACATGTTGCTTTGTTTACTATTTTGCTGAAAATTTTGGAGATTTGAGGAAACTGCCTGTGTTAATTAGTTTTCCCTCATTATAACCACATATCAGAGAAATCAACCTACAAAGAGAAAAACTGTCTTTTGGCTCATGGTCAGCTGGCTCTATTGTTTTTGTGCCTGTGGAGCAAGGCAGAGCATCAACATGGGATCATGTGGAGAGCAATGATACTCACTTCAATTTGTATGGAAGAGAAAGAGAAAAGGGCCAGGGTCACAGTATCCTCTTCAAGAGCATGTCATCTAACTTCCTTTTACTAGGTATTATTTCCTGAAGGTTCCTCTACCACCCTACAGTGCCATGGGATGGTGATTAAACATTCAATACATGGGCTTTGGTGAATATTCCAGATCCAAATTATAGAACTGCAGTCCAGTGTGATGGTGGTTGCTTGTAATAGCAGCTCAGGAAGCTGAGGCAGGAGGGTTGCAAGTTCAAAGCCAGCCTAAGCAATTTAGCAAGGCTCTAAGCAATTTAGCAAGGCCCTATCTCAAAAAATAAATAATAAAAAAGAATTATGGATGTTGAACATTGTTTTAGCACCTAAATTATTCTAGGTTGTATCCTTGATACAAAACAAACACCCAAAAGCAAACAAACAAGCAAAAACCAAATTATAGAATTACCAATGATCAGTCAGGTGTGATGGTGCACACCTGTAACTCCAGTAGTTTCGGAGGCTGAGCCAGTAGAATTGCAAGTTCAAGGCCAACCTCAGCAATTAGCAAGGCGCTCAGCAACTTAGTGAGACCCTGTCTCATAATAAAAAATAAAAATGGCTAAGGATGTGGCTCAGTGGTTAAGTCCCTCTGGTCTCAACCTTGGTATCAAAAAAAAAAAATTGCCCACAATCAGTAGCTAGGCATTTCACAGTGTATCCAAGAAAGCCTCAGTTTCTCTTAAAGACAAAGGTATTTTAAAAGAGTTGATGTGAGCAAAGACATTGGACACAGACTGAAGCAAGCTTAGTTTTTCTTCTATTTCTTCCCTGTGGGTTTTTGTTCAGATTTATAACATGGAAGCAATAATAAGTTTTTTTCTTGTGATGTTGGGTGGATTGAACAAACTAATGCAGTGTGTTGACTAAGAGATGATCTATCTGTGTTAACTAGTGAAGTCAGAAATTGCTAATACTGATGGTGTTCTCCAAGTAATTAAAGCTGTTTCAGCAGGCACAGTAGTGTACACCTGTAATCCAGTTAGTTGGGAGACTGAGACCCTCAGCAACTTAGTAAGACTTTGTCTCAAAAAGAAAAGAAGGAATGGGGATATAGATTTTGGCTTCAATTTCAGTATCTAAAATAAATAAATAAATAAATAAATAAATAAATAAATAAATAAATAAATAAATAAATGCATCTTTGGTGTCGATTGTAAAATGCATCATTTTTTTGCATCACAAGGAATAATACCACTGACAAGCTATAATGCAAATACATCTTACATAGAATTTTACATTACAATTATTGCAAAATCTTTCAAGTTATATAAATGTGCATATATGACTTATAACATTTTTTGTTGTTGTTACCAGGGATTAATCCACCCAGGAGCACTTAACCACTGAGCTATATCCCTATCCTTTTTTATTTTTGAGACATGGTCTCATTAAGTTGCTTAGGGCCTCACTAACTTACCTAGATGGGCTTTGAACTTGTTATCCTCCTGCCTCAGCCTCCTGAGTCAATGGAATTACAGGTATGTACCACCTATACCACTCTTACAATTACATGTGATAGAAAATATAAGCAAAATAGTACATTAACAGATATTACTAATATTTATACCATCCGGATCAAACTCCTTCACTCATCCTGTCTATGATATTATCCACATTATCATCATCTGTGCTAATGGAGACATTGTTGATGCCACATTTCTTGAGAGTGTTCTACAATAATTTCTGGGAGATGATCTTTACATCCTACTGATATTCTCTCTGGCAAAGTTCTATTTTGGTGGTATCACTGAAGATGCCAATGGGAGTTTTTAAGACTGTGTTTATAGATATATAAAGACAACCACATTATGATTGCCTTCCAGGCAAGCATATTGTTACAATAACAAATTTAAGATACATTTCTACATGAAATGTGAAAATATGCACTCTAGCATCAGTAAAATAAACATATTTTTACTTTGTTTTGCAGTGTAAAATCACCTATGTAGATAGTTTTGCATGTGTCTCTTTTTTCTCTTAACCCTGAGCACTCAAGAACTCATTGACCCTTGGTTTTCATTTTGACATGTCACTTCTTTTCCAGATGCGCATATGATATGTGGTTAGTTCATATACTTTGCCCCTCCACACTTTTATTTCTATGAAGATAAAGAATTTAAATGAGTCTTTTTTTCCCCCAAGGAGTGAAATATGAGCTTGGAAGGGTGAGAAGGTTTCTTCAATTACAAAGGCCCAAAGTAACAGCACCTAATTATCTGCCATCCTGATGTCAGAAGTGAGTTGAACTTCAGGTTGTCTCTATCGCTCACTCCATGTCTTTAGGTCCAAGGAGCTAGTTTTCTCACTGAAGCTATAATTCTGGTGTGAAACAAAGCCCTGTGGTTGAAGAACATAAAAGTAAGAGTTATAAGTCTGTGGATGCCTATGGAGTTCAGTATGCAAATCCCATGGCTTTGTAGGCATGGCTCCTGAGTAGAACTCTGCTGCTGTTCGGTAGATTGCTATGACCTACAGACTGCTATGGAATCCCTTTTGCTTTCATTTATTTATTTATTTTTGCACTAACTGGCAAACTGATGTGAAAATTTGTAGGAAAACGTAGAAGATCTAGAACAAGCAAAACAATCTTGAAAAGAATGCTGTGTTACCTGATTTCAAAATTTTCAATAAAATGATTGTAATCAAAACATAACAATACTTATATAAAGACAGATATGTAGGTCAACAGAATAGAAATAAGTGTCCAAAAAGTAACCTTTACATATAGTCAACTGACTTTCCAAGGCAAATCAATGGAGAAAAATATTGTTGCTGGTGCAAATTGATACCCACATGCAAGTTGGAACCTTACCTCACATAATATACATAATTGACTCAAAATATATCATAGGTCTAAATGAAATAATAATATATTTAAATTATTCTGTTAACTGATAGGTAAAAGCACAAAAATTATACAAACAAAGGAGGAACAATATGATGTTTTTCTATGTATGTATCATTGTACAATGCAAAGTTTAAATCAGAATAAACATATCTGTCTCCTCAAACATTTATCATCTCTTTACAGTGAAAAACTTCAAAACCTTTTCTAAATCTACCTTAAAGTGAATGAAGCCAGGGCTGGGGATATAGCTCAGTTCGTACCTCACATGTACATAGGTTCTGGGTTCAATCCCAAGCCCCACAAAAAAAAAAAAAAAGTGAATGAAGCCAATTTGAACGATCTACAGTCAATGTTATTCTATTTATAAAATTCTCTGGAGAATGTAAATCAATTGAGATAGTAAACAGATTAATGGTTACTAGGGGCTTGGGAAGGATGAGGGTAGGATAGATGAAGTACTGGTAATTTCTTTCCTTTTATTTTCTCATCTTTTCTTTATTTCTAGTACTGGGGATTGGACCCATGGACACTCTACCACTGAGCCATATCACTATCCCTTTTTCAAAATTATATTTTGAGACAGGGTCTCCCTAAGTTTTCAAGGTTGGCCTTAGACCTGCTATTTTACCTCAGCCTCCTGAGTAGCTAGCATTATAGGTGTGAACTATCATTCCTAATTAGCAGCTGGGAATTTCTTTTTTTTTTTCTGTTTTTCCTTTTGGTACTGGGACTTGAACCCAGGGACACTTAACTACTAAGCCCACATCCTTAGCCCTTTTTAAAATATTTCTTTTAGAGACAAGTTCTCACAGAGTTGCTTAGGGCCTTGCTAAGTTGTTGAGGCTGGCTTTGAATTGGTGATCCTCCTGCCTCAACTTCTTGAGTTGCTGGGACTACAGATGTGTGCCACTGTGCCTGGTGGGAATTTCTTTATGCTAGTGAAGATATTCTGTATACTACTGCAAAGGTGAAAACATGATACTGTTTTTAAAATCCTACCTAACCTTACATTACAAAGAATTAGCATAAATGATTGGAAATTTAAAAAAAATTATAGGTTTGGAAAATCCCAGGGAGGTGTACAGACAAATAACTGTATGATAAATGCTTGGAATTACATCAGTGAAGGGGTTGGTGGTGGTGGAGAGGGGGCTGACCAAGATTACATGGTAAATTAATGGAGATTTCAAGTTTAAAGACAAAGTATGTGTACATAATATTGTGATCTAGTTGGTATAAGTCTTTCCATGGAAGTATGGATTAATAATTCTAAAATCATTGTGTAAGTAGCTTTCTCCCATTCTGTAGGCAAGAGCCTACAGAACTGGAGAAAATATTTACCACATGCACCTCAGATAGAGCTTTGGACTCAAATGTTAAATAAACAAGGCCATCTTCCTCATTATTAGAATGCAAATAATTGGGAATAGGTAAATTGATGTGACACTGGATTAGATCATGTGGTGCTGGAGATATTAGTAGGAATTCAAGTTTAATTTGATATGGATACATACTGGGCATAGTAGATAATATACATGTGTATGTGTGAGTTAGGATGAAAACAGGCATTGCTTTGCTTGGTTGGCTAGCAAGGCTTCAAATTAATGTAGCAATGAGTACCCCAGGAACCCAGCTCTTCATTTCTATTTTCTAAAGAAATAAGGACTCCTTAAAGAAACAGTGGGAAAAGAAGCTCTTTAGTTTGAATCCATCTCATTTTTTGATTCTTGACTTTGCTTCTTGTGCTTTGGGAGTCTTGTTAAGGAAGTCAGGTCCTAAGACAACATGATGAAGATATGGGACTACTTTTTCCTCTAGTAGGCATAGGGGTTCTTTTCTAGTGCCTAAATCTTTGATCTACTCTGAGTTGAGATTTGTACAGGGTGCTATATATGGATTTCCAATTTTCCTAGCACCTTTTGTTGAAGAGGCTATCTTTCCTCCAATGTATATGTTTGTGGCCTTTGCCTAGTATGAATTAACCATATTTATGTGGGTTTGTTTCTGTATCTTCTATTCTGTACCATTGGTCTATATGTCTATATGACTATTTTGGTTCCAATATTATGCCATTTTTGTTACTATAGCTCTGTAGGATAGTTTAAGGTCTGGTATTGATGTCTCCTGCTTGCTTCATTCTTCTTGCTAAGGATTGTTTTAGCTATTCTGGGTCTCTTATTTTTCCAAATAAATTTCATGATTGATTTTTCTAGTTCTATGAAAAATATAATTCAGATTTTAATAGGAATTGCATTAAATCTGTATAATGTTTTTGGTAGTAAGGCCATTTTGACAACAATTCTGCCTATCCAAGAGCAAAACATGAAGAGAGAGCCTAAAGAATAGGAGAAAATCTTTACCACATGTACCTCAGATAGAGCACTAATCTCCAGGATATATATAGAACTCAAAAAAACTTAACACCATAAAAAACAAATAACCCAGTCAACAAATGGCTAAGGAACTGAATAGACATTCACAGAAAAAGAAAGACAATTGATCAATGAACATGAAAAAGTGTTCAACATCTCTAGCAATTAAAGTAATACAAATCAGAGCTACTTTAAGATTTTATCTCACTCCAGTCAGAATGGCAGTTATCAAGAATACAAGCAATAATAAGTGTTGGTGAAAATGTGGGAGAAAAGGTATACTCATATGTTGTTGGTGGGACTGCAAATTGGTACAACCACCCTGGAAAGCAGTATGGAGATTCCTCAGAAAACTTGGAATAGGACCACCATTTGACCCAGTCATCCCATTCCTAGGTTTTTACCCAAAAGACTTAAAATCAGTGTACTACAGTGATGCTGCCATATCAACATTTATAGCAGCTCAATTCATGATAGCTAAACTATGGAATCAACCTAGATGCTCTTCAACAGATGAATGGATAAAGAAAATGTGGTATGTATACACAATGGAATATTACTCAGCCTTAAAGAAGAATGAAATTATCATACTGAGTGAAATAAGCCAAACCCTGAAAAAACAAAGGCCAAATGTTTCCTCTGATAAGCAGTTGCTAATCCATAATGGGGGTAGGTAGGTAGGGAAGAATGGAGGAATTTTGGTGTGGGCAGAGGAGAGTGGGAAGAGGGGAGGGATTTGGGGGTAGAAATGATTGTGGAATAAGATGGGCAGTATTACTGTGAATACGTGTATGATTACATGTGTATGGTGTGACTCTGTACCATGTACAAACAGAGGAATGAAAAGTTGTGCTCCCTTTGTATACAATGTGTCAAAATGCATTCTATTGTCATATAAAACTAATTAGAAAAAATTAAAAAATAATAATAAAGAAACAATGGGTACTAGACATGGACTGGAAATAAATACAATTAGCCTGCACATTACAGTATCAGAAAGTAAGAAAAGGAAAAAAAGATTACAACCAACCAATTCACAAAAGAAATTAAATTGCAATGATATGTATTTCAAAATGGTACCGGATCAACCTGAGATATTTACAAAGGCCAAGACTGGAACAATATGAAAACAATACAAATAAATTAATATAAGTGTAGTTAAAATTAATGGCAATAATTTCTCATAATGTTTCCAATATTATAAATAAATGATTAAATAAATATTTAATAAATGTTGGAGGCCAGTCACATTGCCCCTGGTGAATAATTTCCAAACATTTTTTCCCTGATATTCTATTTATAAAGAGGTGGGGCATGACCTGCTTCTTAAGTATGCATTGTGTTTAGTGACTTAGTTTCAAAAATACAACATAAAAGGGTAAAAAGAACATTAATATTACTGTAGGGAACTTGACAAAAACTGCCTTGTCCAGGCAATCAAATTAACAGTAGAGATAAACCACATTGATAGCATAAACCCTTGGTATGGTGTCATTAGAATGACACTTTCCAGAGCCTGGAATGATGTTCCACACTTGTAATCCCAGTGGCTTGGGTGTCCTAGGCTGGAGGATAGCCAATTCAAAGCTAGCCTCAGCAATTTAGTGAGGGCCTAAGCAACTTAGTTAGATCTTGTCCCAAAATAAAAATAAAAGGGACTGCGGAAGTGGCTTAGTGGTTCATCTCTGATCAAAAAAAAAAAAAAAAAAGATTAAACTAAGACTGGCATTTTTCCATTTGTGGTCTCTCTTCCTCAAACACACAACTTCAGTATAATCATGAGAAAAAACATCAGGGAAATCCAAAATTGTGATGTTGATGTAATAAAAACAAAGTCTGAAAAGCTGCCATAAGCATAGGAATCTATGAAGACATGCTATCCATGCATGATATGGTATCCTGAATGGGTCTAAAGAATATAAATTTGGCTACTGAGAGAAAACAATGGCATCTAAATACAATGTGGATGTTAGGGATCATAATATACAATATTACTTATTAATTATGACAAATGTCCCATAGTAATATAAGAGGTCATTAATATGAGAAGCTATGTGTTGCGTATTTGGAAATTACCTGGATTATTTTCACAACTGTTGTGTCTAAATCTAACTTAT